CTGGAGGAAACAGTTGCTGGAGAAGGATGTCATGTTGGGTAAGGTGGAAGAGAAGAGGATGACTGGGTCTTAGAGAATTCACTGTGTGTATCTGCAGGTTAGATGCTGTCGCAAAGAGAACTTTGTATGATGTTATCTTATTATCTGATAAATGTTGGGTTGTTTATTTGACAGCTAAGCCTTAAAAGTTTTATAAATTTACCTATTAAACTTTAGCCAGACAGATAAAACTTTGTCTATATCAGATAAATTACTTTTAATAGACCCTTTAAACTTTGGGGGGAAACCAACAAAAAACCTTTTCTTAACTTTTTACAATATTGGTCTCATACAATATATGTCCTTTTGTGATTCACTGACTTCTCTCAACGTAAAGTTCCCAGCTTCATCTGAGATGCATTTGCCCCAATGAGGCCCCAGTCAGCCCAAACAGGAAGCTGAAAACAAATGGAAGCAAGGTACTAGGGGTGGGGAGAGCCCCAATCTGCCAGTCCCCAAAGTCCCCAGCCCTCAGACTGGTTTTCCGTTTATGCAAACCAGGCCAGTCAGGTGGCAGACAGAAGTAGAGACTTTCTTTCAGTCACATGTGGTGGGATAGCAGCTGGGTTGGCATCCCAACCAATCAGTGAGGAGCTTTATTAAGAGGGGAGTACAGCAAGAATTGTGGGTGCAGCTCAAAGTCCTGAGACCCTAAGCCCCACCTCACCTTTGAAGATGTCACCTGAATCCCAAAAGCATTCTTACCCTCCACTTTGTCCAGACCCTTGCTCACCTAGAGACCCTACCTGCTCCCTAGGGACTTGGTTGCATTGTCCCAAGTGAGTGGTACAGCAGGGTGGCAGAGGCAGAGTTGTTTTGTTGGCCCAGACATAGATTCCCTGACAGTGAGGACCCTGTAAGTGGTCAGTGGGCCTGGATGCTGGCCATTCACTCAAGTCTAGCTTCCTCTCTCCCCTTTTCATCCCCTATCCCTGTCTACCTCTGCCCACTCCAGGAAGGTGGAATCGATCATGTATACAGCCATGACCAGAGGGGTTGGAGGGAGGAATTCTGGGTTCAGGTCTGGCTCTGCCATTAATCTGCAGGTGCTGTGGGTAGCTCAACGCATCTCTGGACCTCAGTTTCCACATCTGCAAAATGAGGGCAGTGGCACCTGCCCTGCTTTCTTGTAGAGTGAGGGAGTGAGCAGATAGTGACCAAAGTGTGACTTCATCTATGATAGTGTCTGGGACACACAACTACACTGGAAGATGTGAGCATCAGGCATGGAGGCTTGCTGGGGGCAGACCCCCAAACCCTACCTGTTTGCTCTTTCTAGTGCAGTCATGATATTTTCAATAACCTCATATGCATGTGAAAGTTGGACAATGAGTAAAGAAGACCATAGAAGAATTGATGCATTTGAGCTATGGTGTGGAAGGAAAATATTAAAAGTACCATTGGCCACCAAAAGAACAAACCAATCTGTGCTGGAAGAAGTACAGCCATGTGCTCGTTGGAAGCCAGGATGGCCAGAGTTCATCTCTCATACTTTAGACATATTATCAGGAGGGACCAGTCCCTGGAGAAGGACATCATGCTTTATGGACATCCTTGGTAAAGGAGAGGGACAACAAAAGAAGGAAGACCCTCAACAAGATGTATCGACACAGTAGCAGCAGCAGTGGGCTCAGGCAGACTGTGAGGTTGGTGCAAGACTGGGTAGTGCTTCATTCTGTTGTGCATGAAGTTGCTATGGGTCGGTACCAACTGGACGGCACCTAACAACAACAACAACAATTAAAGAGCAGCCTTGGCACACAGTTAGTGCTTCTAAGGCACGTCTCCAAAGTCTGAATTTCCCCTTCCATCTGAAAGCTAGCTTTCTCAGACAACCTCTTTCCCTGGGAGCCATAGGGAGTCCCATCCAGTCTGGAGGAGGAAGGGAAGAGGGTCACACTGGGGAAGGAGTTGCATCTCCCAGTATCACTGTGTGTTTGCCTAGACCCTGAAGTACACCCAGCACTGGCCTAGACCTCAGTTTACAGTTAAGAAAAATGAGTCACAAAGAGGTGGTGGGATAGGACGAAAGTATCTAAACTGGCAAGAATATACATTTCTGAGGGCCAGAGGGTGGGCTATTATGGATAGAATTGTTGTTGTTGTTGTTGTGTTAAGTGCTGTGGAGTCCATTCCAACACATAGTGACCCTGTATAGGATTTCCAAGGAGCAACTGGTGAGTTTGAACTGTCAATCTTGCAGTTCAAACCAACTTTGCGATCCAGTGCTTATCCTACAGCACCACACCAGGAAAAGACACACTGATGTCCCAACCCCTGTGCCTATGAATGTGAACTTGTTAGAATATAAGACCTTTGAAGATGTCATCAGTTGTTGTTGTTAAGTGTCATCAAGTTGGTTCTGACCCATAGCGACCCTGTATAGGGCAATTGGTGAGCTTGAACTGCTGAACTTGTAGTTCAAATGGCTTTGCAGTCTGGCGCATTAACTCACAGCGCCACACCAGGACTCCTGTTAGTATGAGATAATACTGGAGCAGATTGGGTCCTAATCTGAGAGATGTCTTTATTTTAAAAAACAAGAGGAAGAAGAGAGAGCAGAGAAAGAAGATGACCATATAAAGACGGAGACAGAGACTGGAGTGATACATTTGATAAGCTAAAGAAAGCCAAGGATTTCCAAGATCCAACAGAAATTAGGAAGAAGCAAAGATTTTAGAGACTGTGCTTTGGACTAACACCAAGATTTGGGACTTCTGGTCTCCAAAACTGTGAGCTAACAACTTTCTGTTATTTTAAGCCACCTAGTTTGTGGTATTTTGTTATGGCAGCCCCACGAGGCTCAAGCAGAGGTCCTGAGAACCTTCATGCTGTGGATGGACAAGGCCTGGTCCCCAGAGACCCAGGCTGAAAAGAGACAGGACCCAGATCTCTTTCTCAGTGGGTTTGCCCCAGGCTTGGGATCCCCCTGCAATGAAACACAGTCAGGAAATCTCCAGATGACAGAGTGACAGGTGGGAACTTCGCCCTCTTCTGGAGGGGCCACAGGTAGGGATAGAACTGAAGACTCCTACAAGACAAGGATCTGATCTGGGCAGCGATTGACCCAGAGGCTCCAGGGATGCTCAGGCCACAGGATGGCAGCAGTCAGCTGCAAGGAGCAGGCCAGCATCACGTTCCTACCTGAGTGGCAGACTCGGCAGTGCAGACACTCTCCCAGGCCATTGAGGTGGGCTGTGTATGTTCCCGGGAGGCAGGGCACACACGTTGTGCCTGTCTCCTCGCCACAGGCTTTTTTCACCCGGTAACCTGCCGCCCATAAAGAAAGACAGAAGTCAGACTGCAGAGGGTCCCGCTGAACCATCCATTGTGCCCACCTCCCCTGACACAGGAGTCCTGGGAGTCAGACACTATTCCCTCCACTGGGTCTCAAAGACACCTGAGCTGCCCCCTCAACATCTGCCCACTGTCTCCAGACTCTTTGCTGAACCCAGGAGTCTGAAGGTCTTGGAAGAATGGCTTTGCCACCTGTTCCTTGCTGAGCCTCGTCCCTAAGGCCACCTCCCTGTGCAGGGTGCTATGAATGTCACGAGGGGTGAAGAGTTAAAGTTGTGGTGGGCTCACTGTTGGTGTCCCTCCACCTGGGACTTCACAGCACCCACAGAGCTGATGCCTGGAGGAGGGGCTTCAACTTGGACTGATGGAAGGGAGTGTCTAGCTGCAGCCCCACCCCAGTATTGGCCTTTCCATAGGACAACCCCCCGCTGCTGAGCTGGCCTTTAAGGGTTCACCTACCTGGGCTGCACTTGGGGCAGCATTCAGCACCTACTGGGTACTCCTCCTCTTTGCAATGGGGCAACGCCAGGGTAAAGTGTTTGGATGCCAGTGTGAGGAAGTACAACACCTAAAGGGGAAACAGAATGTGCATTGGTGAGCTGGGCAGTCTCTTGTGCAAACTGGGTGCTGACTTTACTCCCTGGCCTCAAAAAATAGGGAAGCAGCACTGGTCCCTTGGAGCAGGCAGGGCTCTGGTGGGGGTGAAGGGGTGAACCCACAGCAGTCTACGGAGCCACTGAAGAGTGTGCTGGAGCCCACTGGCTGACCACTCTTCTTCGGACCTCCACCTGCCTGTCCACATGTGGGGAGTCCCATGACTGATCCCTGTCCTCTTCTGGGTCCTTGCAAGCTCTGAGTCCCTAAGGGCAGACACCTGAACACCACGCGCACACACACACACACACACACACACACACTGTCCTGTGCTGGCCACCCTCAGAGCCTGGTCAAGAGGCAAGACAGATCAGAAACATGGAGGGGGAGGGGGAGGGAGAGAGAGAAGAGGAAACGGAAAAGGAACACAGCCCTGCTTATCTATGCAAACAGGACCACTTACCCCACCCAAGGTATGACCCTGCTTAGGGCTCCCCACCAGCCCTCCCACCTGCCCTAAGACCTCCCACCTGGAGAATGCCTGGAGGGAAACCCACTGAAAGGCTAGGACGGTACAGGGGTACTGGCTTGTTGGGAAGCCAGGATCAAATTGTTACTGTTGTTGTTGTTAAGTGCCATCGAGTCGGTTCCGACTCATAGCGACCCTGGATAGGGTTTCCGAGAAGCAACTGGTGAGCTTCAACTGCCGACCTTGAAGTTCAAACAGCTTTGCAGTCTGGTGCATTAACCGGACAGTAAAAGTAAGATCTGACAGAAAAGGGTTCTTGGCAAAACTAGCCCCTCTTGCCCAGGGACTCACCAGCCTCAGGCTGTCTTGCTGGGGTGCGGGGCTTGTGGGGAAAGACTTCCAGTCCTGTAGAATCCCCATAGCCCTCTTCAGCCCTCCTCAGCACTTGCCGCCATTGTCGACTGAAAGCAAAAGCAAAAACAAAACTGAAACTATTGTTTCTCAACGAACTTACTGGCACTTAACAAGTACTTACTTGAACTAGATATTCTCCATCTATTTAGACCAAGAAATAGCAAAAACGTGGTTCAGATCACAAAAAGAAGCTCGAGTCACTCCTCAAAAACCCTATACGGGGGTCCACAGGAACTGGCCACAGGAGACCTATACGGGTGGAGGCCAGGTGTCTCCTCTCAGCTGAACAGAATGGGAAGAGAACAATGCAGAAGGAGCCCAGCTTCCTAGTCCTCATTCATTGGTTTGGCTTTGACAATGCAGTACTGGTTGCTACGGGTGGGATCACTGGCTATGCAAAAGCAGGCAGCGTCCCATCCTTTGCTACTGCACTCCTGTTTGGAGGGCTAGCTGGCCTGGGTGCGGTGCATATCCGCTCTCTCAGGATCCCAGAAATGTTTGGGTTTTCCTAGCTACATCTGGGACCTTGGCTGGAATTATGGGAATGAGATTCTACAACTCTGGAAAATTTATGCCTGCGGGCTTAATTGAAGGTGTCAGTCTGCTGATGGTTGCCAAACTTGGAGTCAATCTGCTCAGTAGACATCAATCGTAGTCACGTCCCAGCGTGAACACAAGAAGAATTTAAAATCTCCAAACTTCTACTGTTTTCATGTCAGAGAAATAAGAATGAGACTTAAGTATTTTCACACGAGCTTTGACTCAAAAAAAAATAAACAAAATAGAGAAACAACACTGAACGTAGTAGGGAAAAATGTGTTATCATTACAGCCCTACAATCAGGGACTACATACCCTAAGAGATTATTCTTACACCCTTATACAATATGATTTTTGTATATTGATGTGATTTCTTCTTCTGTAACTATAGATAAATTCTCAGTGGGCAAAGTGACAGGTGTTGACATTTGGAGTCTTGGAACTCCATGTACCAATCAGAGGAAAAGTGTGAAGAAAATCTCTTAGAAGATTCCGGATGGTCCCTCTTTTCTCCTCTTACAGCACAAATCTAATTTGAAATGATGTTATATGAAATGCAAATAAAGTTTTACTATAAATTAAAAAAAAAAAAAAACCCTATACAGGGTCGCTATGGGTCAGAACCACCATGTGTCTGTCAGTTTCTCAAACTGTGGTGGCGTGTGAGTTGCTGTGACTCTGGAAGCTATGCCACTGATATTTTAAATACCAGCAGGGTCACCCACAGTGGACAAGTTTCAGATGAGCTTCCATACAAAGACAGACTAGGAAGAAGGAGAGACGAATTACTTCCAAGTATTTGTTGTTGTTGTTGTTAAGTGCCGTCAAGTTGGTTCCAACCCATAACGACCCTGTATAGGGTTTCCAAGGAGTGACTGATGAGCTTGAATCACCAAGCTTGCAGTTCAACCAATTTTGCAGTCTGGCGTATTAACCCACAACGCCACACCAAGACTCTTCCAAATATGAAGTCACTGAAAACCTTATGAATAGCAGTGGAACATTGTGAGCACCAGATTGCTGAATATCAAAACATGATGAAGAGCAACAAAATGTTGTCAGATATAGTACCAGAAGATGAGCCCCTCAGGCTGGAAGGCACTCAAAATGCGACTGAGGAAGAGCTGTCTCCTCAAAGTAGAGTTGACCGTGATGACGCGAATGGAGTAAAGCCCTCAGGACCTTCATTTACTCATGGGGCACAATTCAAAATGAAGAGAAACAGCTCTAAAAATCCATTAATAATCAGAACATGGAATGTACAAAGTATGAATCTAGGAAAATTGGAAATTGTCAAAAATGAAATAGAACGTATAAACATCGATATTCTAGGCATTAGTGAGCTGAAATGGACTGGTATTGGCCGTTTTGAATCTGACAACCACATGATTTACTATGCCGTAATGACAAATTGAAGAGGAATGGTGTCGCATTCATCATCAAAAAGAACATATCAAGAGCAGTACTGGGACACAACACTGTCTGTGGTAGGATAATGTCCACGCACCTACAGGGAAGACCAGTTAACACCACTGTTTCTCAGATTTATTATACACCAGGCACTAAAGCCAGCAATGATGAAATTGAAGAATTCTACCAACTTCTTCAGTCTGAAATTGATCAAACATGCAATCAAGATGTACTGATCATTACTGGCCCTTGAAATGCAAACACTGGAAGCAAAACGGAAGGATCAGTAGTTAGAAAACAAGGCTGTGGTGAATAGAAATGATTCTAGAGATCACATGAAGGAATTCTGCAAGACCAATGCAGTCTTCATTGCAAATACCTTTTTTAAACAGCATGGACCTCACCAGATGGAATATACTGAAATTAAGTTAATTACATCTGTGTTGTTGTTGTTTGTTAAGTGCCATCTAGTCGGTTCCGACCCATAGCGACTCTGCCCAGGGTTTCTGAGGCTGTAAATCTTTCCAGGAGCAGAAAGCCTCATCTTTCTCCCATGGAGTGGCTGATAGTTTTGAAGTGCTGACCTTGCAGTTCGCAGCCTAATTTGTAACCACTATGCTACCAGAGCTCCTTTGTAGATGGTGGAAAAGCTCCATATCATCAGCCAAAATAAGACCAGGGCAGACTGTAGAACAGACCATCAATTGCTCATATGCGAATTAATACTAAAGCCTTCAGAAGAAAATGAAAACAAATCCACGAGAGCCAAAATATGACCTTGAATATATCCCACCTGAATTTAGAAACCATCTGAAGACCCAGATTTGAAGCATTGTTGTTGTTGTTGTCAGGTGCCATCAAGTCGGAACCGACTCATAGCGACCCCATGCACAGCAGAACGAAATAATGTCCGATCCTGGGCCAACCTCACTACCGCTGCCACACTTGACACCATCAATGATGCCACCTGGCCTACCCATCTCATTGGGGGTCTTCCTCTTTTTCTCTGACATCTTACCCAGCATGACATCTTTCTCCAGTGACTGTTCCCTCCTGACAACACGTCCAAAGTATGAGAAACGAAGTTTAGCCATCTTGGCCTCCAAGAAGCACTCTGGCTGCAC